CACGCCCCAGGGGCAAGGCCAGCACAGCATGCAGGGCATGGAACCCTGGCAGCTGTGTTCTGCCAAAGCAGGTGCTTTAGTCTGCTATCTGACCAGCCCTCAGAACTTAAGTCTTTCAGTAAAAGCATGAATATAGTTTATTTGCTCCTCAAGTGGTGTTTCCATTTGTCTACAGTCTTTTACAACCACAGTAACATTTATTTCTACCTATCTTAGGTCACTTAGGAACTTGACCACAAAGTCTAATAATTCCTTGAACCTACCTTATTTCCAACTCTGAAGTTCTTGTACGTTTCTGATTATTTTTTGGCTGTTACTGAAATGTATCATCGACCTAAGATTTCTGAGCCCTTTTCTGTATTCCAGTTTGTCACCTTTGTGTGTTCACTTGTTCCTTACTCTGTTCAGGGTTCATAGGTTATCCTGTTGAGCAATATGCTAGTTTGCTTTCTGTCTTAGCTCTCTTGTCCTTTCTTTTGTCAATGGCCAGCCCTTGCTCATTTTTATCAGTTTGTACTAACAAGCTTCCCAACACTGCCAGAGTCACAAAATAAGGTTAATGAGATTCACTATGAATTTGTTACCTACCTTGTATTAGGTCTTTATTGCTACTCTGCACTTTTATTTATTTACATGTACTCTACTTCAAATCAAAGCATTGGCTTTGGCATCAAGGAAGATTTAAATATAAATCCTGATTTGCCTGATTTAGGGGATTGTTTAACTTCTCTGAGCTTGTTTTTCTTTGCATCTTAAAAATGAAATCCAGTTGGCAGGGTTGTCATGTGGGCTGTCTTTGACAGTATATCTAAAGCTTCTAGGTAGGGAACAGCATCTGTCCTGATCTGTTCTAGAGCTCAATCTAGGCAGACTCCTAAAAATTCCTTACTACCACCAGCTTAGATGAGGCCTCTTTCGGCAAAACTACTAGAGTTGCTACTGGTCATTTTGGCTCCAGTCCATCTTACCCACTGGTCTCAAATCAGCTTTTCTGAAACAGTACTAAATTTTCAATGGGTGTCTGTTGTCATTGAGTCCCATCTTATATCTGCTAAAATACATCATTTGTTCCCAGTCTACTTTTCAGCCTTATCTCACACTACTTCCCTCCCATACCCAGGGCAAAGCTTGTTTCTTCATGCTATTCACTAGCCAAGACAACCTCTTCTACTGGCCTGTCCTCATTTTAACAGCTCATCAAATTTATATTTCCTATTGTAGACAAACAGCATTTTTTCATGTATTCCTTTACTGAAAATTACTTGGGATCCCTCTAAATATCTTAATGTTTAACTGTCATCCCTGTAGAATTCACCATTTCATTTTGAATTTCAGTTACATATATGTTCATCCCTCAATGACAAGTTCCCCTTTTGCTCAAAGACAGACATGATGAAAATCAAGTTTTTCTTTTGAGTGAATCCAATGAATCCAAAAGACATCAGTACACTTCTGCATTAAGGAAACAACAAATTACCAAATAAAAAGCATGCCTGAAAAACAAATGCTTTATTAAGGAGCAGTAACTTAAGTAAATACAGTTGAATATCTGCCCACTCTGTGGTGCTCTTACCATTTGGAGTTCTAAAATAAACCGTTACCAACAGGGAAAATTCATTTTGTTTGACTGGTGTACTGTGATCTTGTGTGTGTGTGTGGTACTGGGGATTGAACTCGGGACCTTGCACTTGCTAAGCAAGTTCTTATGCTGCTGACCTATATCCCTGGCCTGATTGGTATAAAAGTAACATTTTTACGTCTGTGTTCAGAAACAAAGTAGTAAAAAGCATTTACTACTACTTGTTTGCAAAGCTAATAAAGGGTGGTATCTGATA